CTCTCTGGCACAGACACAATGCGTACAAAAAATAATACGTTTGCAACAATCAATACAAAATTACAATGTATTACATCAATGAAAGAATATCTAAATAAATCAATGGAAGAATTACGCTACGAAGACTATCAAGTTAACAGAAAATTTCCACAACCACCATCATTATTTGGGTCAACAAATATATTGTCGACGAGTGGAACAACGACAAGTGCATTTAATCCGTCGCCATTTGGCACAAGTAAGCTGGAAAGAACCAAAAATGTGATCTATTGAAATGTCTTTCTCATTTGTCCTAGCTGCTTTTGGTGCAAATCCATCAACTTCGACGCCATCAACTATGTTTGGTTCACTAACTAATGGTAAGACTAGAACTAATATTTTGATAAGAGAAGAAAATCGTGATAATGAAAAGGAACATTCTATATTTTTAATCTTTTTAGCACCCACAACAACCGCACCATTCTCATTTGGTGCAAACACAGCCTCGACAAACATTTTTGGTCAACCTTCTGCTATAACAACGACCAATACACAGTTTAGAATGCCTACTTCTTCAGCATTCGGTGCTCCATCATCATCAAGCTCATCGATTTTTGGCGGTGGTACTACGACTAATATATTTGGCAATACTGCAAATACATCAATAGCGTCGCCTTTCAATCTAAAACCAGCATTAACGAGTCAACCATCGTTCGGTTTTGGCCCAACAACCAGTAGTGCACCATCATTTTCATTTCCAACAAATACTAGTACCTCTATTTTTTCGCAACCAAATACATCATTTGGCCCAACAACCAATATATTTGGAGCGGCATCAAGTGCACCGTCTGCGTTTGGTACAACTACTTCACCATTTGGCCTGACTACTTCAACATCGAATGCTTTTGGTACAACGACTAGCACGACTCCTGCTTTTCCTGCTTTTAATTCAGGATTCACGGCATCTGGGACAAATTCAATTTTCGGTTCGTCAACAACAACTCAACCTAACACTTTTGGCCCAACAACGAGTCAGCCTAGTACAAATCTTAGCTCATTATTTCCAAATAATACTTCGAATACGAATACCTTTAATACAAATATATTTGGACAACCTCAACAATCATCATTGTTTAATCCTGTTCCACAACAGCCATCTATATTCAATCAACCAGTTCAAAGTGCTACCGCAGTTCCACCATTCAGTTTTGCACAAACGTCCCAAACTAATCCACAACAACCACAAATGATGATGAATAATTCTAATAACATTCAATTATCAACACAGCAAAATCAACAAGCAATAGAGAGTCAACGACGTTTTTTACTTGCCAGTTTGCTTGATCCATATGCTAGTCGTGGAATAAAAGATTACAAAGTATATCTTTTTGACTCTTTTATTTATATGTCAAAATTGCAAAAACTATTTTGTTTTAGCCAAGTGATCAAATAAAGCCGCCACTTGATTTAATTGTTGTTACATCGTCTGGTACAATGTCGTCAAATATAGTCACCACTTCAACAGCTACAACGACAACACCTTCTTCGTTAGTTATTAATCAGACTCATCGTAAAACAGCATCTCATCCGCTTGTTGATATACGTTTTAAATTAACACCCGTTTCTTCATCACCATCGAATAATCACAATGACCTTAAATCACCGAATAGTGGTCTAATCAATAGTCCATTATCAAACGATTTTTCAGAAGAAGAAGAAATGATTTTGATCGGACGTACAAAATTATCAAAATTACGTTTGTCAAACGGTGATTTTGTTGATTCTAATGATTTACGTTCACCAAATAATGAGGCACCACCGTCTTCTAGTTCTCTCTATCCTCTTCGACGTTTGGCTGAATTAGAGACACTATCAAATAATAACAGTGACAAAAATACAATGTTTGATCGCTTACCTGTTGCTCCAAAAATAACAGCGACTCTTGTTTCCTCATCATCTACAACTGTTGATACAGCGTCTGCTTACGGCATAAGTAAACCAAACACAACAGATTTTATGCTAAAACCAACAATGGCAAATACTGCAGGTATTATTTGTGTTCTTTACTTTTAATCTCTATTAATTCATTATTCGTTTCACTTTAGATAATTCGACAAAAATGTTACCAATTGCACATTCTACACCACTTCTTCATAAAATACCCTCACCTCCCGGCCGAACAACACAAATTCAACATCAAATCGAACCACCACGCTATGAACATGAAGATGATGATCGAGTTGTGAAACCATCACAACGTTTAGAACTACCGAAATCTCAACCAACTATATCTTCAAAACAAACAAACGCTACAAATCTCTACAAAAATTCATCAACAGCTCGAAGTGAAGAATCTCGTGCATATCGTTTACCAAAATTAAGTCGTAGTGATTATTATATGAAACCAACACCGACTGATTTAAAAAAACATTTTAATGATCAAGGACAATGTTTCATTAAAGAACTTACAGTTGGAAGAGATAATTATGGATCTGTAACATTTTATGGAAATATTAATGTTGCTGGTCTAGATCTTGATCGATTAAGTGAGTTTATTTGTTTCAGAAAAAAAGAACAAACAATGTTTATTTACAAAATTTTGTTTTTCTTTTAGTTGAAATTGGACGACATGAAGTAACTGTCTATCCAGATGATAGTGATAAACCACCAGTTGGAGAAGAATTAAATGTTTTAGCTCGAATTACATTATTAGGCGTTTATCCAACTGATCGATCGACTAGAGACCAAATAATTGATCCTGAGAGAATCAATGCCATGAATTATAAAGATTATCTTAAAGATATTACAAAAAAATTTGATGGCGAATTCGTTGATTATAGTGCTGATGATGGAGCATGGACATTTACGGTAATAAGAATTTTATTTAGATAAACAATAGTATAGAATACATTGTTGTGTTTCATTTAGGTCAATCATTTTACAAGATATGGTCTAGATGGAAGTGAAGATGAATTTCTTTTACAAAAATTAGATAAACAACTCGCTGCAAAACAACAGCCACAAACAACAGTCATAAATCAGTTTCCAATACAACAAGAACAAGGTCAAAAAAATTCATCTTCCACAGCTGATTTTCTAGATCAAACAATTGCTGTCAATGACTCTTATACACTATCACCAAAACCTCGAATATTTTCTAATGGTAAGAATTTTTTTTTTATTTAAAAAAAACACTTTTATAAAGTAGTCTGAAAGTGTTGTTTCTCTCCTTCTGTAGAACAATCGTTAATGTTTGATGATATGGAAAAAGAAAATTCATATCACCCGGCACTATCTCGACCTGCGACTGGTCTATCGTTGCTTGGTCTTCCTTCAAGTGAAGTTGAAAAATTAGCAAATTCATTATTTGATGACAATGACGATGATTATATGCCCGTATCGGATGTGTTTACTAAATCAACTGGTAAGAAAGAATGTTTAACCATTTGTACTATTAAAATCCTATTGTTTCTTGTTTACAGACAAAATAGTAACATCAACGAGAATTATTCCTGATAAAACAATATCTCCTTCACCTCCTTTAATTGGTAAGAATATTTAGATCAAAAGAAACGACAGAGTTAATAGTGTCTGCTATTTGTTTTAGATTCTTCAAAAGCAAAACCTCCACCATCAACGACAACATTTTCATCAATTAACATTCCTCCAAAACCTTTACCTATTCGTGTCTATCAAACATTACCAAAACAAATAGCATTAATCAAAGGAAAATATTTTCGAACAAATATTTCTGATCAATTACATTATATGTCTACTGATCGTAAGTAGTTATTTTATTTTGTTTATAAATAATCACGATTTTTGTATTCTTCTATTTAGGATTGAATGAAAAACGTTTAATTCTATATAATTCATTTGAAAATCAACAAGATGATGTTGATAATACAAAACGATTTTTTGATCTTCATTTATCATGTTCAGAGCAATCAACAATGTCAACAGAGTCATTGCCACATTTTCGAGTAAAAACCACTCCAACTATTCTTAATAAATATATTGAATTCTATACAAAACTAATTGATGAACGTATGTATTTCAATCAATCGTTTAGCACAAATATTTATTAATTTTATTTTTTATTTTAGAACAAAATGAAATGTCGAATGAGGATCATATTAATACCTTTCATGAATATACATTACAAATACTTGAATTATGTCGTCTACTATGGACACCAATAGAAACAATTGATGTTCAATCTATAAATCAAATCTATTTTGAAGAGCAACAACGACGAAAAATGCTTTCCGATTGGTTATACCAATGTGTTTTGAGTAAACCAAAACGACAGGTAAAATGTGTTATGCCTAAGTAATTTAAAAGTATATTGAAAAAAGTTCTTGTTTTAGCAATGGATAATGCAAAATTTTGAATTTTTATCACGTGGATTACTTAATGATTGTGTCAAATATGCAATGGATGAAGGAGATTTAAGATTAACAGCATTGATTAATGCTGTTTCGGGGAGTAATACTTGTCGAGATATTTTACGCCATTGTGCCAATGAAGATGTGAGTTTTGTAGTTTTTTTTTTAATTAGATCGTTTCCAAAGGGCTTTGAATTTTTATCTAAGTTTGTCTACTACATTCAATTATTTTCTTTTTATTCTAGATATTCGATATATATACAGAAGACTTTCAAAAGACCATTGCAATATTATCCGGTGAATTTATTATTAAAGGAAGAAATGTGCTTGATGTCAATCGTGATATATGTTGGGAAATGGGATTAGCATTACACATGAGGTAAGTAATCAAATAATTATTTTATTCATATTATATTTTATTTTTTATTTTAATTATGAAAAAAAGATATGCTAATTCATTATCGGATTCAATTTCCACCATTGTTAAAGATTTTGAACTTGCATGTGATGATAACTATTGGTTGAAACCTTTGCCAGATCATTCAAATGAAGATGAAAATGAAGATTCGATATTAGATATGAGATGGCAGTTATTGAAACTATTTACAGATGAAACATATCCACTTGTAAACCTTTTTAATGTGAAATCGTATACAAATAATCCATTTGACTATCGTTTAAGGTAAAATATAAGAAGACTTTTACTTCATGTAGTTAGATTGACCGAGATTAGAATGACAGAATTAATGGGATAGTTGCATGAGATTTGAAAATTTTCGCATTCTCAAATTTCTTCAAGATAACTGTAATTGAGCGTCTTGTTACTAAATATTATGGTTAAAAAATGTTTGAAAAAACATGTTCATGGTAAAATTTGAGAAATACGAACAACCAGCGAGCTTTGATCTGTCTATGCTCGATTCAAACAGTACTTACTCGTGAATTAAATGCGGTATTTAAACTTACGTCAACAACAAAAATAAAGTCGAATGACGTACTTCTTACAACTTTTCTAGAGTTTAGATGCGACATTTGGAAGTAACTTTTGGTACCTCGAAAAAACAATCGACATTTGATGTTCGTTTTTAATATAACTCTTGATAATCTATTGTGTAAAACAAAAATCCGCGCTCAGAACTCGATTTAAAACTCGTATTTTCTTTAAAATAATAGTAGAAAAAACTGATTTTGAGTCTTATTATGTTTGCACCGAATAACGCACATTTTTGGGAATAGAAAAATGTTTTTTAGAAAGTTTGTAACAGTAGTTTTATTCAAAATTTCATGTTGATCATCGCTATATGAGAACGAAAAATTACCTTATGATATTTTATTCGTTTGACTTTTTTCTTTTTTCTTACGAAATTGATGAAAATAATCTCTTCTTTTTTTAGTTGGCTTCTTTATGTCACATTACAATCAGTTGGAGCTTATCCATTATCGAATGACCATGATACACAAATACATTTAAATTATTCTAAACAACTTGAACAAATGGGTTTATGGAAAATGTCGATATTTGTTCTTTTACATATAAATAATGCAAATAGGTAAATCTACATTATTTTTCTTTGAATAAAAAAAAGTGATATTGATTCTTTATTTTTCAGTCGTTTAACATTGATTCGAGAATGTTTAAATCATCACATGACATCTGAATGCGATATAACACAAGATGAACAATATCTCATTGATCAATTTTGTATACCATTTGAACTTATTATGTCATCAAAAGCATTAAGAGCCGAAAATGATAAACGATATACAAATTCTGTTTTACTTTGGTTACAAGCAAAAAAATTTCGTCGTACACATGATCTGTATTGTAATCATATCTTTCATGATACATTACTACAAGGTAATAAAATTTTTAAAAAAAATCACAAAAAAAAAATATTCAGCTTTCTATTATTTTCAGGTGATTATGAATTTGCACGTCGTATTCTTGAACAACTCGATAAGGAACGGCGAATAATTGCACATTGGAATTGGAGAGGCGGATATTTAAAACAATATGTTGAATTATTGATTATGTTTGAAAAAATTGATCAAGGAAATGTATGTTTAGACACTGCTAATCACAAATATTTTAATTATAATATAATTCTACATTTTGACTCTATTCAGTATTTAAATTTACTTTCTCTTTGTTATTTTATAGATTCAATTATCATACAGTGTTCATAATCGTTTATTAACACATACAAATCAATTATGTGATGTTTTACTCGATGTGATAAATGATAAATACTTGAACAAGTAAAATACTGTTTTTTTGACATAAATAGCTAAGATTGATGTATCTTTCTTTTTTTAATTTAGAATGAGTCTTGTTGAAATTGGTCGACGTTTATTGTCGATATTAAGTTATGCACTCATCTGTCAACATACTCATGATATAATCGTCGATAATGAAGAAAATTTTCAGAAAAAACTAGATATTTTTCGTCAACAGTTATTATCAAGTGTTCCATGCTCTATTCCATTGAATGTTATTTGTACACAGATTGAGTCTCTACGCATTCAACTGTCGTCATTTACCACTTTGAGATCGTGAGATATTTTTCTTACTCTTTATTATTTGTTGCGTGCTCTTTGACAGTTTTTATGTACATTTTTCGCTGTGTCTGTGCTTACTTTAGTAATTGTTCTTTTGTCTAGCTTACATAGACCATATGCATCTTGTTCATTCTATAAATAAATTTTTGTTGTCGGTTTTTTTATGATTTAAAAATAAACTAGAATATGTCTATTTTTTTCTTGTTTATAATAAACATCGCAGTATTCTTCTGTAGTGATATCATCATCTCGCACACTCAACAGTAGGTACTAGTATCAATAGAAAGACTAGGGGAGCTCACTATATAGCTCAAAAAAAGGTGATGTTATCTTCTTTTATATTCGAGCATATCATAGTCATGTGAGGATTATGCGACACTTCATCAACTATGTCATCTGATAGAGCATTTGACGTGATACAATCTGGTATACAGACATTTCAAAAAAAAGTGGAATAGTGTAGGCAGCATGAAAATTAGCGCTTCCACATCCAATCGAATCTGATTCAATCCATATGAAACCTATCACCATTACATCGACATTCGGTGCCAGCGACGAGGGTTGTCTCATTTTGTGGAGCTCGACGAGCTGAATCGAATGAAGAAAATCGCAAGTCTCCAAGTAACTCTGGAAAAAAGTTATTGGCACTTTACTCTGCCAGTAGAAATATGCACTTTTCGTCGTTTTCCAGCGGATTTAGCCTAACTTGTGAAACATTTCCTACCCGCATTCCCTAATGTAGAATCTTGAGCTTAGTTTCATATGAAATAGCCATCAGACTCTATATAGTTCCATAAAGAAGGATTATGCGACACTACTGAGTCTTAAGAAAACGATCTCTGAAAGCCTATTTGTCTTCCTATACCATTCAGAAATCGTTTAATCGTCCCATTACATAGCCCGCTCAGATGTCTAGGAAATGAGAATAAGATTAGAATGAAATTCACGAGAATAATTGAAACAAACAAGTAATCAACTAGCAAGAACAACATGATGTACCTCATCAGCCTTGTCGTTTATGTACTCTTTGACAAAATGCATGTATTAAATATCTTTTTTTTTTCTCTTCTCAACTGTCCACAGTTGATGTGAAAGAGAGACAGTAAGTGTCGTTTAATTCATTGTGTTTCAACGGTACTTACTGGAGGCTTCTTCAAAAGGTTTTTTTCTTTCTTGAACATTCATTATGAGGCATAATTTAAGTGAACGATAGATGGGCACAGGAAAACGGATCTCTAATGAATTCTTCTATTTTCTACACTCCAAAAAAACGAATGTACGTATGCGTAGATCTTCAGCGGTTACCGTCGTGGGTACATGTTCAATATCCTTTCAAAGTTTCATGTTGTTCGACGATTTCATGTAGCGAACAAATCAATTATCCAGGTCAAAGAACCGTACAATATCAGATACGATTGTATTGTATGATTGTATACGAATCGATATGATTGGGTGACATTCATTAAAAGCTTCATTAAAGCGTTTTTTTAATGAAAGTCCCGGTACTCTCATTAAAATGTCTCCTGCAAAGTGACTGTGGCCTGGAGTTTTTGATGGTACAAGAATTTCATTAAAAATTTCTGTTGTTCATGTTTATAGTACACTCCTGAGTCTTGAGACGACGATCTTTGAAAGCCTATTTGTCTCACTATACCATCCAGAAATCGTTTAATCGTCCCATTGCATAGCCCGCTCAGATGTCTAGAAAATGAGATGTCATAGCGAAGTTTCTACGATGTTGGACGACCGAGTTACAGGCTTTGTAACATTACTGGCATGAATTCATCGAAATATTTTAATTTTATGCTGAATTTTCTGACTAATGATAATTTTATGAATGATAGGGTTGTTAGTGACATATTGTGTCACATTTTAACAGTATAATCTAATAGTTAGCATGAATATCAGCGTTGTATCGGATTCGCAATACAACTTCATCATACAGTTTTGAAGCATGCATACATTTTAAGCCTTGTTCGCATGATTAGTCTCTCCATTTATTATTTTTGATCGAACATAAAAATAATCATCGATTTCAAAATCGTCGATTAGTACGAAACCTAAAAAGGGTTTAGAAATGGTTTCAAAAAGCCATCTTTTTTGGAAGAACGAAAAGGTTTTTTGACAGGACCACACCCCTGCTAGGTCCGCCTCTGGTTGCATTTTTCGTATGACATATGGGAAGTTCGACACCTGTCGTCGGCAATATTAGAATTGGTGAAAACGTTTTTTCTCTTTTCCAAGTATGCGGAAACGTTGCTTTCTTATAGATGGGATGAAATAGTTCTCCTCATTTCCAATAACTTTTTACGGTGACAATTAGAACAATTCCAAAAATTCTGCAAACGCACTAATGCGTCTTTCGGATTTTCTAATTAATCAGCAGCGCAAAGAAAAACGAGTCAAAAATCACTGGAATCGAACTTGACTACTTCCGCCAATCTATATGCGTTCTTCACGTGTTCCTCCAATTTCTTTTGTTTTCTTTGCATTTCTACATATTATGATCATACAATATTTTTTGGCCTTCGCGTTTTTTTTTCGATAAGTGGACAATATGTAGTACAACATGAATCCTAAAGGCTATTTTAAACCGATATGTTTACACATACATACTTTTAAAAAACATCGATATGAACACTAATCATGATGGACAGATATCGTCCATCATGTTCTCGATTCTAGACTATCCTATCTATTTTTCGGCAGAATACGGCTTATAATCACGTGCGTATACACAGAGGCCTGAAATTATTTTAACCCCCCCGCAATAAAAGTTTTTCGTTTCCTCTTTTTTCTCTTGCACACTCGCCCCCCCCCCTTAAAGCTCACTCCCTATTCAGACCCCTGCATGTACAAGTCAGACATACTAACGATTAACACCAAAAAAGTTGAATAAATATACACGTAGTCTGTCAAAATATTAATTACCGTTCTCTTTTTATATTATATCCGAAACTAAAAGAATATACGAGAAAGAAATGAGCATCTTACTTCCATCAATTTTATTACGTATGTAAAAAGATAAATAGACGATATACGTACGTTAGAGCTCTATTATAGAACCATTATATTTGTCAGATAACGAAAGTAAATATTTCATTTTGTGTTTGTATGACCATTTTTTTTTCTAACGTTTGTAATCAATGTCGGAAAATGAAACCGAATTTAATTTAACAGCATTGGACTATGCTCAAATAACTAGCCTTCTCAATGGAAATCTTCAATCAATGGATAAAGGAGATTGGCAATCATTTATTGCGGATTACACGGACGATGGAATATTTTTTCATCCTTATCGAAAATTGAATATTGAAGGTCAAACGAATTTGAAACAATTTTTAATCAGTTTTGCTGAAAAACCGAATAATAAAATAATTACACATTGGGAATCGAATATTGCTATCCAAGTTGGTACAACCAAACATTCAGCTATTAATAACTCGTATTGGCAAGCAATCAAGGATGGAATAATAATAACTATTGGTACTCACATGGATGAGTTGAAAAAAGTTGATGGAAAATGGAAAATTCAAAAGCGAACAGTTTTGGTTAAGTGGACAAAAGAAGAAGGAAATGTTCAAACAGATTGACGTACGATTAAAGACAAAGGTTTATGCGAATACATATAAATTAAAGATATAACTTGTAACAAACTTTAAACTGTTAGAATATTAAAAAAAAGATTTAGAAAATAAAATGATACAATTTTCAATATTTAACACGCCTTGGCTATGGTATTCAGAGTTATTTTCCAGTAAGAGGCATCTATGGTTTCTCAGTTCTGATTCTTATTGTAAAAATACTATATTAATAGATCTCCGAAACAGATCTACAGATGTCACCCGAAAACAGGACATTTTCTTTCCATTTTTTTTTGTGTGACTCATTCTAATTATCTCTCCCTTTATTGGTGTATTTGATCTAATACAATTATAACCAGATTTTTTTTCAGATTGGCAAAAAACGGCTCTTTTTAAATTATTTTGGCAAATTGTACCTGATATAAATGTGAAAATGATGCGTTGTTCAAAAGCTGAGACAAGATGAATTCTTCTACCTTTCAATTTGACAGCATCATCGCAATCTTTAAACTTAATAAAACTGATGGGTAGAGTCTTCTTTCGTTTGATGGAAACTTTATCAGTGATGATCTTTCTGTTCTTTTAGACGACTTAGAGCTCAAATAAATAATCTTAGCAGCAGATATTCACATGAAGACGATGCTAATTTCCTCTATCCAAATAGTTCTAAAATTAGACTAATAAAAACAAGTCGATCATCATGACTTCTCGACATTCATTACGAAAAGTGTTGACAATGGTAAAGACTAATAGTAACAGAAAACGAGATCGAAATTCTGTAATTAGTAGCGATTCATTGCCGGTACGTAACAGATGATATTTTTTTTTATTTTTTCATGGATACCACTGAAATTTATTTGATTTTCTATTCTTAGCTGCCTCAGTCATCGTTCGAACGTTTAAGAAAAACAGAAAAAGAATTATTTAAATCTTTAAGTTATCTGGAACAAGTTTTAATACATAATAAATTGGAAATATTGAGTAGCATTACTACATCATTAATTGAGAATGTACTCGATTTTGATAGTGTTTTAAAGGGAATATTTGAACATGAAACAGAATCTTACAGGTAAAAATAGCTCAAATTTGTCTAAAATAATGACTTGACGATATTTTTTTAAATGAAGATTATCAATACTGACTGATGTTTATTCATCACTTGCGGATTTAATCAATTGGGCAGATAAAGTGTTATTAAATAGTCTCAAAATAATTGATAAAGCATATAAAAAAATTATTTATGATTTTAAACAAGCTGTAAAGGTAAATATACACTATCTCTAAGTTTACTTTTCTTTTTTTTAAATTTATCTTATTTGTCGTTTTAGAACGCCATATCCATTGCCTGTGAGAATTCGTCGACACATAGTGCTGATTCACGTTCTGATTCATTTCATAGTTTCAGATCAATAAACAGGTGAAAATTTTGAACACGAATATATCTCATGTACGATGAATAAATGATTTATTTATTATTTAGTTCTGATGATGATTTAGTACCAACGTTGCCACCAAAACGTCGAGTACGTCCCGTTAGTTGTTCGAGTGTCATAACAACTCCATCGACTACATCTAATAAAAATTTAACATCTCAAAATACAAATGGACATAAATCGAATGTAAATTCTTTAATGTCAGACACATTATCATCGAATCAAGCATTAATTGAACAACAAACCACAAGTTTAAGTCCTGTTCGAGAACATAATGCAATTGACGGTGAATCATTATCTTTCGAAGATGATCAACGTATACAATTGATTGTGAATGATATTAATGATATTGTCGAAAAATATACGAAAGAATTGGACGATGCATTACGTCAAACCACGACAACGGTAAATACCGATATTTTTTCTTTCACCCATAAATCTCGTTCATCATCATTCGATAATATTGTTAATTCATTGACAAATGAACAGTCAGATAAAGTTGTGGCAACAATCACTCCATTATGGTCATCATTATCGCATCGTCATGATAGTACTGATGCATTATCCACAGACATTGATCCATTAGCCAAATGTGAAACGCGTATATCAAAAATGAGTAAAAAAACAACATTAACAACAACAATGAACGGAAAATCTTTACATGATAAAAAAGAATCATGTCAAGTTTACAATGAAATGGAATATGTGTTAAAATCTGATAAAGGTAATTATTTGGCAAATCAACGAAGTTTATTTACAAGAAATGATAAAATACAACAACCATCCAGTGAATTTGAAAATCAACAAACAATACAAACAAACAAAACAGAACTCATAGAGACCATGCAACTAAATAACAATAATTCAGTAACAATTGAAAACCAACGAAAAACAAATGCTATTATCAAAAGTGAATCGTCTCATTTAAAAACACCGGAAACAGTGACAGTACTTGACGGATTTTGTGAAGGTTATAAAAAAATTGATTCAGAATCAACTACATCGGCAGCAAATGGAAATAAGACACCACCATTACCACCAAAACGGAAAACAGGTATTTAGACTACTCATTAATTGTATAAAAAGCGTTTACAAATTTGTTTTTTATTCTAGCACGAGCGTACATGTCACTATTTGATCGATACGATGAAAATCAAGCACAAGCATTTTTACGGGATGAATTTTTCTTAAATCAACCACCACAACGACGATTTGAGGATTTATTTGAACAATTGCATGAGCGTTTTCGTGAAATGCATATATTTTCATCAGATGAATCATTGAAAAATTCTATACAAAAAGAAGAAGGACAACAACAACAAATTCCGTCTAGTTTAACTCATTTGTCTAATGGACTTTCAAAAGTAATCATTCTTTTTTTATTTTAATTCGAATTTAATTGATTAATTTCTAATCTAGAAAAATATAAAACAATCGAATGGAAATCGAGACGATGTCCAAAAGAGGTATATCCAAATTGCAAGCCTTCTTGACACAAAATGTAGCTTACTTGTGCATTTGTATTTGTGTTTTGTTTCTTTAGCCTGAATGAAAACGATAATATCACAGACAATGCAAATCAAGCGGATATGGAATTATTCTTAGAAGATGTATTGCATTTACTCGTTTTTAATCAAGTAAAAATAGCTCATTATGTTTTTGCTTGTATGAACTTTATTGGCTTTGTTCTGACAACATTTTTAGAAAGAAGATCCATCATTACGTGGTGGTACTATTGATGCGTTGATTATTCGAGCTACATCCCCAGATAAAAAAGGTTCGTATCAAGTGATCCAGATATAATGTCTGTTTTTTGTTTGCTATTCTTATCCATACAGCCTCAACCTTTTGAAATTTCTTTTAATCAAAAGATGTGCTACGAAATACTCTACAGAACTATATCTAAACTTTAATTTCAGAAGTTCAATTAAGAAAACTACGCAAATTAAACAAAAAAGGCAAAAAAATGAAAACTTTGTAAATTTAGTATTTTTTTCTAGTTGAACTTTTTTTCTGCTATTATTTCTGTAAAAAAGTGTAGCAGAAGTGAGAACTCCGTTTGTTCTGTACTTTTGAATGTACCTTTTCGCGTGGTCTTTAAAAAATGTTTTTTTAGAGCAGACGGTGTGCTCTAGAACGAAGTTTCAAAAATACGCCGAAAATTGACAATCTCTCGTTTTCAACCAGGTATTCAAGAAACAAACGGAAAATATGATCGAAGTATTGATTTTACAGCTGGATAGAGAAAAGCAATCATTTATGATAAAAAACAAACAAATTCGATCAAAAAATCTTTTATTTTGGTGAAACTTTAACTGAAAGCACCACCATACGCAGAATTTAAAAATTTAATGAAAAAAGTGACAACGAATGGGTTTTGATATGAAAAAATGTTTTTCTCACAAAATGGCTAATTCAATTTTTCTTACTATCAAATCGTTGTTGAGTTTAGAAAGTTTTCATTTTTTTCGCCTCTCATCTAATTTGCGTCGTTCTCTTCATTGAAGTTCTGAAATTAAGATTTAGATATGGTTCTGTAAAGTATTTCGCGGCGCATCTTTTGGTTTAAAAAAAATTTCAAAAAGGTTGAAACTGTATGGAAAAGAACAGAAAACCAGGCGTTATATCTGGGCCACTTGATAATGGTTTAAAAAAAAATGAAAAGTTTTTTCAATAAATGTTTTATTATTTAGATTTTATTTATCAAGAAGCATTTTTAACTACTTATCGTACGTTTGTCACACCACAAAAA